TTTCTTTTCATCATCAACCTCGAAAACCCTCTGACAAGCTGTAGCTGGATAGGCAATATTCAGCTAAAAATAAAAAGAACGTAAAGCGTCCATACGAAGTATAAAATTTAGCATTTTCTTTAATGATTAATATTATTCAGATCGAACTTTAGCCCGAAAATCAAAATACTGAAACAATACGCAAGAATTCACGCACAGCAGGTAAGCAACTTTATATCTCTCAGATGTATTATTCGGAACATACAACAGAAACGCAAAGTCAATTACCTTCATGATTTATACCGTAGTCAGGTCGGCATGTACTTTGATCAAAATTCTAGAAAGACACAAGAGCTTAGATGATGTATACCACAAGATTTACAACTCGCCATTGCAGCTACCAACAGACGCTCGAACATACAGTTAAATAAACCCCAGGGTATCAGAGTGCGTTTTTATTCACGGTGATGCAAGTATTGCTGAGAAAGAATATAAATTCTTGACAGCGAAAAAATTGTATCTGGCAACGCGCACCGTAGGCATTTAATCATCGGCATAGTGCAGTATCTGTTGTCAACAGACACAAGTTGTCAGTGCAGTTGTCAACAGACACAAGACTAACAAATGAGATCTCAAATTCTGCAAAAAATGAGCAGATAGAATGAATACTCCAAATTATCGGATTAGAGATATTTTGTTACAAGTGATGAGACCTCTAAAATACTAACTCAATCTTGACGATCAGAAAGATAATTATATTCATCGCATGCAATTTGAGAAACTCTAGAAACGCTCCAGTGCAGTGTTAGAAACGCGGACATGGGGAATATCGTACCCTTTCCAGATGTGCTATTTCGATCTAACAAACCAATTTTAGCACGGATATATGAATCCAACGACGAAGCCTAACATGTGGATCGTTTTCAACTTCCAACCCCGCAGCGAACTTTGTTCCATTATACCGTGCAGAAAAAGGCGAAACTTAAACTCTCCATCTAGCTGTTTTAAAAATGCAACTCTAAGAAAGACATGCATTAAAGTCATTCGCTGAAAGCATTTTAGTGGGAATGACGTTCAGTGAGGTGAAGGCGTACAGAAACCGTTTGGTGATGACGTGTCAGCGACGAGTTGTTTAAAATAGCCACAAGTGCTACGCCTCATCTTGCATTAGATGTCAGGGAGCGATTGTGCCACAAACGACGACAGGAACGTGCCATGATGAACAGTACAGCTTCAAAGCAACGTCAATTCAAAAATGAAAACTTATTTGAGATGACCTGCGAACAAACCATCGCTTCTCGACACGTTCGTTAACCGAAGTTCGTAAAGCTGCAGCCAGGCAGTGAAAACCGCAAACGGGCTTGGGAACTTCACGCCATAGAACTGCTTGCTGACTGATCGTTACAGTTCAGGTACTCCGTATAAACGTCTTCGCGTCTGTCAGACACCATCCTAGTGAAAAGTTCGAATGGAAACCTTCTAGCAGTGAAAGATGACATTCTCCACGGCAGGACTACTAACAGGATATATGTATCTTCCGTCAAATTTAGCAACAGCCACGAAGAACATTTTTGGAAGACACTCTCAGAGTTTCTGAAAGAGCGATGGAATTCTGCGCCTCGGTGATGCAGAAGGTTAGTTCATGGCTGCCTTTGAAGTTCTGGCAAAGGATAAAGCAGTGGCAGTCAGTGTAATTACCCGTGTTCATTATAAAAGGCTCAGAAAGTGCACTAACTGCCAAGTCATCTCAATGTTTACACAAGTGGCTAGAAAGATGTTACCAAAAATGGTACTGCAAGAGGACAGGAAGAAGCAATATGGCTTCCGCTGGGAGAATCGCAGAACCGGTTTTTATTTTCGTCCGATCTGTGAAAAAGGCTGGGAATATGCTAGAGAAAACTTTATATACCCCCGGTCAGAAAGAGCTGCAAAAATATGGGAAGAGAGCCAGCGACTGGAAACTACCAATTCCTCACACGACATTTTAGAAATCTGTCCGAATTAATGTCAGGAAAACGATGCATTTTAAGGTATGCACTTGCTTCGCGTCTGCAAAGGGCACGTGCCGAGCTCCTTTTCATCACTTTTATGAACTGGAGCGGCGGTCGCGATTTAGGCACGCAGAACGTCTCAAATGGGGAAGTACGACTGAATGACCTGCCATGCGCAGATGATCTCGTCATAATTACTTCATCCTGTGCAGACCTCTACTGGGCACTTGGACGCATTGACATTCTAGGCTGTTACAGCCGCTCGCTTTCCACATCCAGGGATCAAAAGGGCAAAAGTTTTGGCAGGCAGTCAGAATGAATCGGACCAGATTTGCGATGTGACTCTCATAGAGCTGCAACAGGGAACACGGCTCAAGGACAGACGAGGGTAGATATAAATTGCGAAATTTTGGCTGACTGTCGCGTCTCAGCATTCGACCGACGGGGTGTAATCGCCAGGCATACCTTCCTGAAACAGCTCCCCGGCATCAAAAAGAACAAAATGCATACATGAATCAAATGAAGAGATGCCGTTAAGTCTAAAAAGTTACGCGTATCTCATTTTTGCACCTGGTACGTATTGAAAGTGGGCAACAGAAGCAAATGCGTTTGACAACGTTTAAGAACCTGCTGTCTTACCCATGACGAACTGCTTCCTTTTCAAAAGCAAAGCTTTAAGTGAACCATCCTAAAGATTCTGAAACCTTCGAAGGATTAACAAAACTTTCACTGCTGAATTCGAATGGAAATTTTCAGTGCGGAAAATGACGAACAGAAGGCCACATCGAAGTACACCAGTAACTACGTCATTATATTTTGGCTAGGAAATCAACAGTACTAGCAACAGCGCATCCTTTCAATTCGTTTTTACTCTCCCCGCAGTTACGCACCAAACACTTGTTTATTCGCATTCCACAAATTCCCAACTCAGCATAAAACTGAAGCAGAGACGGCGTAGATTGAGGACTAAGATGGACAGACTTCGGACGGCATTATCTGCAGTAATCCAAAAACGAACGCAAAGCAAACGAACGTATTTAAAGATGGCCGAAAATAAATTCCCAGCGCCTCATTTCGGAGCAAAAGTTAGAATAGCCGCAATACTTGGTGACTGAAGTATTTTCGTAGATTACATCTAAACTTAAGACGCGTTGAAACCTCCAACATGTCTTCATTTCATGCTAAACAGTGCGCCAAAAAAAACCGTTGGAAGCTTCTGCAACACGTGGAATTTCGAAATAAATGTTCAAAATACACTTCTTCGCTAATATACAAATACACAGCGAATCCTTATACTAAACCAAAGTAGCCATCGGTGTGAAAACAAACTGAGGAGCAATACGGTAAAACGTTAACCTAACCAAAATAGACCAAACATCTAACAAAATGCTATACACTGTACCGGTGGTTGACACGACATTTTCTTACAAAGAGTAGATCTGCAAGGAAAGCTACAGTGTATAGCAATGCTTATCAAATTAATTTCATTTCCTTTATAGAAACAAGTGAGAAAATGAATACAATCAGCGAAGTAGCGAGAATTTTCATGAATTATCATTTTCTACAGCGTTTCTGCACAAAGCTGCATGCAGCTTTATGAAAAATTAAAAACTTGTCTTTAACCACTTACCGAT